GGCTTTCCTAATTATTAACTATAGAAATCTGTGGTGGTTACTTCATCAACCATTTACTGAAACAGAACAATACTGAGCAACACAACAGTATCAGTACAATGTGTGGATGTTCACTTAAAAGCTAAGGTGTGTAGTTTTAAACCTGATTTACACAGTGAGGGCTACATATAATATCAGACCTACATTTGGTATCAGTTTCTCTGAATAGACAACAGGTTAAAAAAAAGAGAGAAAGCTGCTGCTACACTTTATAATTCATGGCTAGTTGTGGGAGTGTGTGTAGAAGGAAATGCTGCATGTGTTTGTTTCATTCTTATGCATTTAGTCCAAGGTCTCTCCGCTCATTTCTGACCACACTGTCTGTTCTTCAGGTCAGCAGCTTTCCACTCCTCCTACATCTTTCTGCAGAGTCGGTTCCAGTTTTGACACATGTCCTGGTAACAGTGTATTCCCAACTAGATTTGAAGATCAGCGTGCTGACTGAAGGTTAACTGTGCCTATTGAGTTTGTTATAAAAGGAGGAATAAACGTGTATTATCGTTGCGTGTTTGTGCACGGCCGTGCTTGAGAAATGCCGAACAGGTTTGTGTGTGTGTGTTTTGGCAGGGTTTAGTATGAATACTGATGTGGAGGAGAAAAGTCCAAGGTCAGGGAGTGATAGTACAGCACACAGTACTTTATTCAAATAATACTCGCACACAAACATCACAAAGCTTCGGCTGATCGGTGTCTAGAAACTCAAGTGCCTTGTTTTCTTCCCCTCTCAACACTTCCACTATGTATCTTCTTATATCGTTTCTTCCTTTTTCCCATGGGAATCATAGCACCGAGTGTGTGCTGCAACAATACACCCGGCTGTTTTTTTTTTTTTTCTTTTCGTCTTTGCTGTTTTCCTTGAATTGTAAACCCTGAACACCTCAGTCAAACCACCCAAAGGCCCATTTAGACTCTGAAGTTATAGCCTCTCTGTTGTGTTTGCTCTGTAGAATCAACACGACGGATGGGACGTGTTCAAATTGACCCGAAGTGATAGGTCTGTGTGTAAATAATGAAATGGGACAGTTTGTAATGTGAGCAGATCTTGGCAGTGGCAAAAACAAATGTGGAAAATAATACCAAGAGGATCAAAGGATCAAAGAGTCTTTTTTTGGCTGTTGTCGCACCACTTCATGGAAAATGCTGCTTGTTGTTATCAAAGGGATAACAGGAATATTTGGCAGTTGTTCTGTCAGCACACTGAGGAGGTTTATTCCTGCTGAAAGGAAACGTTGGACGTTAGGAAAACGTCGATACTCTGTGGTGATAATCACCTGACTGTGGGTGAAACAGGTTCAGAAAGCCTGAATCCTCTGAAGGTCTCGTTGTTTCTCGTAATTGTTTGCAGTGTCATCACTTGTCTTGTCATTTTACTGAGCATATTTGACATTTACTCAAGTTGTTCGACAGTTTTTCTCTCAGATTTGATCAACAGAAAATTAACAGGCAACAGTTTTAATTATCAATTCACTGTTGTTTTCATAGATCGTATTTAATAACTGATGCGCCCTGACTCAGCTTCCTGTCCTTTCTTTTTAAACTTAGCATTTTTGAGTTTGATTTTCATGTTGTCGATCTCTTTAGAAGTTGTTCTGGACAATTGTCACTTTGCTTTTTTAAAACATTTTCTTCGTCAGTAGAATAATTTGCAAATAAACGTGAAAATGATCCACAGCTGGAGCTTTACATTTGACATTTATGTCACTCTTCGTCATCTTAAATTTTCCTAGTAGCTCGATTTTTCTCTTGCATTTTTGCTCTGAATACTAAACAGAGTTGTAGTAACCTGTGTCTGAGAGGAAACACATCTAGCTATATCTACATTTCTTTCTGTAGGAGCATATTGGTATTAGACACAATAAACAGTAAATTAATAAAAATAACAGCAGCACTTCACAGTCCCCGAACAAGACAAGTTCACACAGATGTTTGGGTGTTTATGGTGCATGGACTGGTTTATCCTCACTCAGAACCAGTCAGAAAAGACAACATGCATCTAAGTTATAGTCTTTTTTTTTTTTCCACACTCGATTGGCACAGAGGGTCTGGACTTCACACGTCAGTGGGCTGTGGCTTCATGTGGCCGGGCTCTCAGGCCTGGTGTACTGTTACCGGCAGGTTTGGAGTGTTCCGGCTGTCTTTAATGTGTTAAACAGTTTTAGGACCCGAGGATAGGTGCTTTGTGGCGCTGTCAGCCTTCTGTTTCTACAGTAATAAATGACCTGCATACCGCTGTTGGCCCTCTTGAATATCGACTATCATCTCCTCACCTGCACAGTTGTCCTTTTCTCCGTCCCCCACTCTTTGTATGGCCCTTTCATTCATTGGCCTTTCTCTTCCAACCCCCCACATCTGTCACTTTCATACCAATCCTGTCTTTCCACTTTCTCTCAGTCACACATTGGTTGCTGTTCCCTTTTCTCTCGTTTATCTCTGTCCAACTTTTTTTTTTGCTTTAATCCCACTCTAATGTACTCCTTTCCTGTTATCGTTTCAGTTTTATTACTTGAAAAGATCGAGAACGACGACATCGGGAGGAAGACCTTGAAGATCACAGATTTCGGCCTGGCCAGGGAGTGGCACAAAACCACAAAAATGTCAGCAGCAGGCACCTACTCCTGGATGGCCCCCGAGGTCATCAAGTCATCTCTTTTCTCTAAAGGCAGCGATGTCTGGAGGTATGATAAATGACACACTCTACGCAGGCCCCAGGTCAAAATATCTACTCGTTCTCGTTTGTCTGACGTTGTTCGTCATTCAGTTGTTAATTAATCCTTCCCTTTCCCTTTCTTTTTATTCCCTTTGTGCGCGCTCCGTCCACCAGTTACGGTGTCCTGCTGTGGGAGCTGTTAACAGGGGAGGTGCCGTACCGTGGGATCGACGGCCTGGCTGTTGCTTACGGTGTAGCAGTCAATAAGTTAACGCTACCAATCCCCTCCACTTGCCCCGAACCCTTCGCCAAGCTCATGGAAGGTGACTGTGACCACATTCTAGTAGAATTAAATTAGCTAAGCTTGATTTATTTAGGAAATCTCACTGAAATCAAGATCGGTTTTTCAAGAGTGACCTGAGAAGAAGTGATAGGAGTCACACACACACATCCAACCACACTAACAGTGACAAATATGATTAGAAATATGAGCTAGTCAGGCTTGAAAATCTCAGAGAAATTAGTTCTCTAACTGAGAATATTTCAGATGTTTGTAGTAGTTATTTATGTCATGTAGTGTTGATGAATGTGCACAAGGGTTGGACTTTTTATTGCTGTAGTGATTTATCAGTTGCTAGAGAAGAGCCTTTTTTTTCCTATATGTACATCTTATTGACACAGTGATTCATAACAGCAATATAACCGCCGGCGCATCATCTTTGTGCACGACATAATATACAGCAATCTGACGACAAATGGACTTTAGAGCTACAAGGGTGTCGAGGCAAACAACCAGCCACACCCCCCTATTCCACTAGATGTGTTGCACGTTAGAAAGGTTTTTCATGAATGGAATTTGGAGTCAGTTATCCGCTGTCGGTGGGTCAGCAAGCAAGCAGGTAGTGATGGCTTTGTCTGATGCTGCAGTAAGTATGCTGGCAGATCAAGACAAGGACACTTCAATGCAAACTTGACAATAAAATATGCCATAAAGAGAGCTCAAGTCATTAAAGACAATGCAGGTCTTTTCTGGTCATTCTTTTAGGCTAAGAAATAAAGATAACTTAACAAACACGTTTAACCCTTAAGTAGCCATATAATTAACAAAAAGTCCTCACCTAAATAAGTTGACAAACCGTTTTCTATTCAGGCAAACTATTAAACCTGATTTTTTTTAAAGCTAATGTTGTCTTTGACTTTTATATCGGCTTCATACGAGGATTTTTGAATGGCAGTTATTTGGGGGTTTCTTGTATTGGACAACGTGTGTGTGATAGAAGGTATAATGCAGAGTTTCAATTGCAAATTTTAAGGAGATGTAGTTAGAATCACATTTTGCTGCTTGAGGTTTTACTCTCCAGTGTGTGATTACTGACAATTTAGTGCTTGAATAGTGCTTGTTCATACTGATTATTCCAGGATGGTGTTATTATTGTACACATCTTAATTAAGTAGTGACACAAATTGCTAAATTGCCAATCTGCACGTTGCCCTGTGTGTGTGTCCAGAGTGCTGGGACCAGGACCCCCATGTGCGTCCCTCCTTCTCCTGCATCCTGGAGCAGCTGTCAGCCATCGAGGAGGCGGTGATGGCCACGATGCCCCAGGACTCCTTCCACAGCATGCAGGACGACTGGCGCGTGGAGATCCAGGAGATGTTCGACGAGCTCAGGACCAAAGAGAAGGTAGGGCAGCGTGATCCATATGTGCTGGCTTTAAACTGAACACACAACACGAGGGGTGGCAGGTGGTTAGATACATAGAATCTACTTTTTTTTCTCTCCTTTGTGCCACACAGTGTGGGAAGGTAGAAACTCAACGCTGAGCAGGTGTAGCGGTCCGCAGATCCCTGTTATGTTCTCTGTTCTTTAAGGTTTAGTGATAATACGTGTAGACTAATCTATCATTAAGTTTAACCCTGATGTATCACTCTGGACAGGTTCTAACGACTAAAAAGTTTAATTGGTTACTTTCAGTGGATAAGCTAATCACACATTTAACAAAACGAGTCGTTAATGCCGAGGCGCTTTAGCGTACTTCCCCTTGTTAAGACCTTAATCTGCTTCCTGCATAAGTCTGCCATTGCTGGCTTAAAGAGGGGGGTTAATTAGTGTTTAGAGAAACCGCGGGATCAGCACACACAGCTGGGTCAGTGGATGGTGAACCGAACAGATATTGAAAACCACACATGTATTGTTGTTCCGCCAGATTAAGCTATCCTTCGAACATCTGTGTTACATAATTTACAGTCACCCAGATTAAGCATCTTAACGCTTAACTGATAATCTGTGTAGCCTCGCCGTCCTTATAAAGTTTACCCGATATGTAAAGCTTGAGTAAGTCAAGAGAAGAAAAAAACAAGCGAACATTTTCCCATCGCAAATTTCACAAGATTACTTGCAGAATTTGCCCCTGCATCAGCAGATTTCCTCTAAACATCTCCCAGTAATCTGTGTCCGGGTGGGCGGCTGAAGGGGTTTGACTGTAAAGCTGCTTTATGGAAGTCATCCAGTAAGGATTATTATAACTCAGCTGAGAGCAATTAAAGAGAAAATAGAAAGAATGAGGAACGGGTAAGCCATGGGAGGAGACAGGACTGTGTAGCTATGTAACACAGCCTCAAACAGGCAGTAACCTGGTATTGATGGAGTTATCTAACACACTCACTCCTACCTATCCTATAGATATCTGTCTGCTAGGGTTTGACTTGTTTGTGTTCTCTGCAGTTTGTTTCTCTTCTGTCCTCTGAGAGAATCATGTCTAAACCAACACAGGGCCTGAAAAGTTGTAATGAACAATCCAGAGAAGGTGAGATAGATATTGTCTGGACCTATAAGGCACTTTGTATATGCCAACAACATCCCTTAAATGTTGTCTCTTCATCAGCCCTCTGAAACCCAAGCAGTTTGTGGGCCTAAAAGATGTCCTTTGTGCAGTATAACAAAATTCTAATGCTATAATTCAAGGAAGAAGAAACAACTTTGACTACTTATTTTACAAAAAGTGAGAAAAACTTGTCCCACCATGTACAACATTATTACCAACACCAATAATAAAGTAGTGACTCTTCATCCCACAGATATTTTACAGTTTGACTACCTACATGTTCACCAGTTGTCATACTTTTCTCCAATCTGTTCTGTGTAAACAGCATTTTAGCTCAGTTTAGCTGGAAACTCCCTGAATTGTTTTTGTCAAATGACTGTTGGAGAATGTTAGAAAGTTATTTTATTTGTTTATTTATTTTGACAAAATGTGGTTAAACCAATAAGTTTTTTTTTTTTAAAAGGCACATGAGGGATTTTGATGCAATAGTATGATTAAAAGCATAGATTTGCTTAATTTCCCAACTAATGCCACTTTTTTTTTTCAAGACAACGTGCCTTTCATCCCCATCAGCGGATTTTGGTGTTCATAAATCTAATAGGCTACCCTGCCAGTTTCACATTTCTTTCCTGTAACATTCAGGCTCCCAGTTTACAGCAGAATCGGATTGATTTTTTTTATTTCAAAGCTGCCATCTGCATTACTTTACTTCAACTGAACTGCCGACAGTTTGGTTGAAGCCTGAGGTGTGTTGTGCTCATAGCAGCAAATGTGATCTGGAGCTGCTCATTGTAGGCTCACTTTTTTACAAATCCTCTCCCTTCGATTTGTTTTTCTCCCCAAATCTGCACATTTTATCGGATCATGTGTTTCTGGAGCAAATAAAACTTCAACACATGTAAAAGGACTTTTAAGAATTTTTTTGAGTTTCCTTTTAGTTTCCAATGTACAAAAGGTTTCTTCAGGGTGCCGGCGTAGAGTGTGTTTAATGGTGCTACCCATCTAGAGATAGTCTAGAAACAGGCTCCACTGTCCATATTGTCCAATCAGTATCTCTGCTTGGTGAATGTAAGGGTTGAGATCTAGATAAATCAAAAGCATCCTCAGGCAAAACCATACATTTTCTCTCTGGCCCTGTCAGTGTGTCGGTGCACACATAAGATTACGAAAACAGAAACCTGTCTGTCAGTTAGACCGTAATACATCCTATTACCTGCTTCTTCCAGGAGCTCCGTTCCAGGGAAGAGGAGCTGACTCGGGCCGCCCTCCAGCAGAAGTCTCAGGAGGAGCTGCTGAAGCGTCGGGAGCAGCAGCTGGCAGAGCGAGAGATCAACGTGTTGGAGAGAGAGCTCAACATCCTCATCTTCCAGCTCAACAAAGACAAGCCCAACGTGAAGAAGAGGAAAGGCAAATTCAAACGGTCCCGCCTTAAACTGAAGGATGGGAACCGCATCAGCCTGCCCTCAGGTGAGCGAGTCTGTATTTGCAGAGTTTTACGATGCTCTAATCTGCTGGTGGTATTGTTTATAGTGTATCTCATCTGTTTTATCAGTGGACGCGCTGTTTTTTCTTTAAATTATTACTTGCAGTAGAGCTGGAGCTTCAATAAAACAGTGCCTTAACATCCACCTCCAACCTGTCGACATGTTTCTGATCATATCAGATGGTTCATACTGTCAAAATGAATGAATCACTGAAGTTTGTCTCAGTGTTTTATTTAGTTTTACAAGTTTTATGTCGTCTTAATGTTTGCACATACTTTTCTGCTGACTGTCTTATAACACGTACAGAACTGAGGTTGTTTTTAAGTGTGCTATTTACATACATTTCATTTGATTTGATTTGTTTTTTTGTCCAACACTAGTGAAACAGAAAACCTCGTATAATAACTTGCATCATCCTGACAATAGCCGTGTCGTACATTTACACCTACAGCAAAATGAATACATCAATGATGACGTAGATTTTCAAAATAGCAAAATACTTATTTATTCTAAAATCAATAATCTTCTTCTCTTCTTTGCTTTTGAGAAAAACATACTTTAGCACAACAGAGTTAAACAACCGTTCTCAGGTTTGTTTATCTGCTCACCTGAGTATTTTGGGGATTTTTAGTGCTTGCTCTGAAGTGATGATAGCATTTAAGGCAGCGCATCTTGTTTGTTTGTCCTGTGCCAGTATACATGTTGGTGTGTAATCACTGTTGTTCTGCTGTGGTTCTAATGACAATGCAATGTGTGCACGTTAGACTTCCAGCATAAGATCACCGTGCAGGCGTCGCCTTCTATGGACAAAAGGCGGAGTCTCCATAGCACCAGCTCTTCTCCTCCCAGCAGCCCCACACTCATCCCTCGGCTACGAGCCATTCAGCGTAAGTTTAGTTTGTTTATCTCATATTCATGTGTTCCTTAACGTGAAGTCTCAGGTTTTGTCCCGTCTGTTTCTTGGCCTGTTTCGAGTCACATCTGCATGTGAAACCACATGGACTCTCTGAGAGTTTCATGGGAACATGGGGACCGTGTTGTTCACAATGGCCCATGTGAACAAAAGCTCCAGAGCGACAAGCAGTTAGCCAGTTGTTTGAACAGTTTGATAAAGATGTTAGTCACGCACCAACGCCCTTGTAATAACTGGAACACATTCCTCCTGTGCATTTATGGTAGATGGTCATGTTCAGCAGAAGGCCCAGACTGCTGGTCAGATTCTCTCCCTCAGTTCCAACCGAGACGATTGAAATGGATTAGCATTTGGCAAAGTCATCCAAAAAACACCTAAACCTTTCAGAATCAACATAAAAACTTTATGGTATTGTTAATTTACATAGAGAGGGGTTTTTCTCCACAGCAGAGGAAGCATAGAAAATACAGAGTTCTAAAAGAGAGAAAGGCTTTTTATGTACAGAAACCCAACTTTCCCAACTAAGTTTGTCTGAATGGTGCTTAGATGTTGTGAGCTACAGGATTAGATAGATTGACTTTATTGTGCAGGAGGAAAATGTGGTTCCACAACTTGTATAAAGTATGTTTTACACAGAAAAATGTATCCTCGAATGTATTCATAGCCTCCCATTAAAGAAGGAAAAAAAACAGCTGTCACTGAAATCAGCTGAAATTGACAAAAGTAATAAAAAAAAATTAAAATAATGAAAATCATGACATTGTTTTTGAATTGCGGTTCAACAGAAATAATAAAAAACAAGCAAACAAGCCTGATGGGACCCGTAAACTAATATTTAGTTGAACAACCCTTTGAGCCAATCACTGCCATCCAGTGTTTTCTGTAACTCTCAGTCAGACTTCTGCACCTGTTGACAGGTATTCTGATGTCACTGCTCATCAGCAAAGTGCTCTAATTTGTCAGCTTTGTTTGTTTTTTTAAATTATTCTTTTTAACCACAATTCAAAAGCAACGTCTTATTTCACTGCAGCATAATTTAGCAAATTTTTATTTATTGTTACTTTTTCCAGTTTCTAGTTATTTAAGTGACCATTGTGAATTTTGCCTTTTCGTTAATGGAAGGGTGTGAATACATTTGAGGACGACTATATATGATATATAAAATATACAGTTCTAATTTAACACAAAAAGTACTACCAACTTTCTTGCACATATCATCTATGTAGTCATTTCTACACATTTATAACGATCATTTATATCTTCGCATAAACCTCCACCTGTCATTGCGTACACATTGAAAGTCAGTTTTATTTACAAAGCCCAAAATCTGAAACTTGAGGGAACTATATGAACATCCATAATGATAAATGTACATATACAGTGTTTAACAAGGTATTTTATTCAAGGTTCCTCTGGCTGAAGAACTACAACTTTTGTTTAAGTCACCTTCTTTAGTTTTAAATGTTGTTTCACAGCCGTTACCAGCTCGTAGCAGCTACAAGGCCTGTGTCATAATGCTCATGTCACTTGTATGTTTCCGTCCTCAGTGACGTCACACATGCGGAGGGACAGTTTGTATGTTTACCAGCAGGATGTTGATCTGACCAGCGAGCTCACAGCTCACCCCGGGTTCAGGAGGAAAGGCAAGCTATTGGCTGCAGCGTGGGTGTGGCTAATAGCACCAGGCTACCGTGACGTTTGGCTAACTTTGACAACTACAACGTGTTTCTAACAGCAGCTTTCCATCAGTGGGGTTTCCACATGGGTGGATTATAACAAGACTTTGGTGGTTGTTTCCTGTTTAAAACCTGAAAATCAAACAGGAAGGAGATAATGATGACGTTTGTGCCACAGACTTGGGCCAGTTGTTTTTGAATTATTTTATATTTTTGATGTTTTGACACTGGCCCTGATCTGTTGCCACGACTTATTCGGTGTATCTGGCCTTCACTCACGCCTTTCTACTTCATGATGACTAATCAACATCTGTAAGCTGCTTTCATAACAGTGTTTTGGGTTGTCGTTTCTGCTTGTTGGCTTGTTGAATTTGCGGGCAGTAAGAGATGTTGGTGGCTGGTTCTGTTTTCCAGGTTAAATAGGGATTCTGAATCAAACTTAGTCAATAAAATAATTAAAAGCTTATATTTATCCAGTGTAGACCTTAAAATCCCATGAGTCAGATTGTTGTTTAGACTTTTTAAGTGCTCTAAAGAGAATAACAATAACCACTGTAGAGAGGGATTATTATGGGGATCTGACAGATGGCACAATACCTCTAATAATCCTACTAACATTTCTACTCCAGATTCCCTGCCAGGGCTGCGGTTTCTCCGACAACAGCTCCCTACAGTTGTTTGTTCCTGTCCTAACACTTGTGATCACTGTGTTATCAGTTACTCAAGACGAGAGCAACCGTACGTGGGGCCGCAGCTCCCTCTTCAGGCCAGAGGAGTTCGACGACGTGAAAAAGGGAATCAAGAAGAAAGGAAGGACCTGGGGACCCAGTTCAGTGCAGAGCAAAGAACGGCCGGCTGCTGCCGAGAGGTACAGTGGACACACACACACACACACACACACACGCACACACACACACAGAGAAATACATGCCAATACAACCAGCAGGCATTTTTCTGGGTGGAGACTGGAAACCCTCAACAACACAACTACACCCTCATCATAAACAACTGTAGGGGTGTTCTGTCATGAAAAGCCCAGATTCTAAATGTTATTTGGGTTTGGTGATTTTTGGTGCTGATATTAAACACCTGTGTTCATTCCTGATTGATTAAATGAGCATGTATATGTCACAGTCCAAATTGAACTAAAATTTAGATTTCGCCTAGACCAAATTAAAATCCTTCTCATACCATAGTGAGATTGTAATCCTGCCTGAATACATATTGAATCTATAATCTCCACACCTCACATTCTTTAATGCTCTAACCATCAAAGAGTCACACCAACATTTTCATTCAAATACATATGTAGAGGTGTGATACATCTTTTGTCATGTTTAACAGTCACGCAAGACTGGTACAACTCCTACATATATATGAATGATTTTAGTTAGGTTCAGGTGAAATCAGTCTTATAAGTCTGATTTAATTCAGATTTTTAATTTGGTCAAATTTTAAACCTGTCTAGGCAGGCTTACAATCTCAATTTGTTATAAGGATGGTTTTAATTCTGCCTAGACAGATTTAAAAATGTACCAAGGCAGGATTACAATCTCATTTTGATATTAGACAGATTTTATTTTGGTCTGGGTGAAATCAAAATTTCAGTTCTGACCAAATCAAAATTTTTGTCTCACCTAGGCTGGATTTTAATTTGGAATGTGACATATAGATAGACCTACCTTCCTGCACTTATTTGCACCATGAAGGCACGACACATGGGTCTCTTTTTATCACTCCAGACATTTTACAATGTGTTGGATTTATTTTTTACCCTCGTCTACATCTAATATAGTCGTCTGCTGCATCTTTTCGACCCTTAAAGTTGTAAATGTGTTTCCAGTTGCATGCATCTCTGAAATATAACAGAGCAGACCAAACACCAGCCACCTATTAAATTATTTTGCACATCCGGTAAAGCTGTTCCAACCAAAACCAGCAAATCCTTCCAACCTCTGCTAAAGTATTCTGTCACACCGGCTTAAAAACTTGTCTGTTAGAGGCACTACCTCGGAGGATGATAACACAAACGGAGACACGAGGTATGCAGGATATTGATTTTTTATATAATATTAGGTATAGTATTAATTTATAGTTTCTGTTTGGTTGATTATTGATACAATCTGTGCACACTGGCAGGTGCACGCATGAATGCTGTTCACATGGACACGTTCACTGTACACATGGGACAAAACTGCTTCAACTTGCATGTAGAACTTACCATATTTATCTTCTGTAACAAGACTGTAAGCCTTAAGTCTTACAAGCATCATCTGCAGTTTAATGGTAACTCTGGACCGATGCCAAGATTTAATTTAAAAGTCTGCTGATACCAATTATGGTGCCGATGTAAATGTGAATCGGAAAACATCATCTGTCTGGACGAGACTGGACAGTGAAAAAAACAAATGATATGTGTTGTGGGAGTTTAGGCTGATTGTTTTTCTGTATCAGGACACTCTTGGAAGCTAATTCTGATTGGTGCAGTTAAATGAAGAATCCACACACACACACAGTCCACTTCATGTTTTCATCTGTATGTGTGTGTTGTTTTCAGGGTGCGTCCTCTGTCAGACGGCAGCAACCCCTGGTCCACCAGCCTGGTCAAGTCCCAGAAGTCTGTCCCCCTCGCTGCCCTGTTCGCTGACCAAGGTGAGCTGAGTTTAGAAATCTATGAAAAGATCTTGCATTTGTAAAGTCGTTTGTTTATAACGTCCACTTCTGTGTTCCCAGCCGGGACCGGTAAAGACGAAGCGTTCGCCCAGGAATGTCCTGACAGCAGCTCCAAACCAAAGCAGCTCAAGTTCCCCAACCAGGTGTACATTGATCTACCTCTGTGGAGGGACGAGCAGCAGCCTCAGAGCCCCGGGGGGAACTGTGGGCCGGGAGACGCAGGGGTCGGGGCAGCGGGTCAGGGCGGCCCACCTGAGACGCCAGACGACCCCTACACCACCACGTCCACGTCGTCCACCTCCACCACCCCACAGCTCACCCCAACCAACAGCCTGAAAAGGGCATCAGCTCGCCGGAAGACCGACTCGGTGCTGTACGGCTGCGGCTCGCTGCTGGCTTCAGTTGTGCTCGGCTATGACATTAGGGAGGCTCTCAAAAACTCCGCCCCCGGAGAAGACTGTGAGCCGCAGAAAGAGGAGAAAGAGAAGAAGAAGAAAGAGGGCCTGTTCCAGCGCGCGACACGTTTCCGCCGCAGCACCTCGCCACCGAGCGGCCGCTCCCGCAAAGACGAGGCGTCGTCGAACCACACCTCCACCCAAGCCGTTAATCTCATCTCCATGTCCGCCATCATGGAATGCAACTCCACCAAGTGCCTCCTGCAGTCTGAGGCGGAGGTGTCGGAGTCCAGCCCTGGGAAGGGCGAACAAGTGGCCGCCAATCATCACCCAGAGCCACCCAGACCAGCAGCATCCACAGAGAGCCAGAGCAACAAGACCGCAGCTAAAACACAGACACCAGTGCAAACCCAAAGTCAGCCTCCAGAGCAGAGCAACCACAACACAGGGACACGTCTACGCAGAAAGAAGTACACCACCAACCACAACAGTGAGTAACACGACGCAGGGTGAAGGGAGGTCAGCATGTCTCCATGTGCAGGTTGTAACCATGTGTCTCCCCTGTTTGTCCACAGCCAACGGCCCGCCCACTCTGCCTCCTCCCGCCACACAGAAGAAGCAGGAGAAAGAGAAGGAGGGAGTGTCAGAAAAGCCCTCCGGCGGCGAGGCCTTCTCCAGACCACGGCCGGTGTCGTTCCGGGCCAAACCCCACACCTGGGCGCTGCTGCGAGGACGCAACAAGAGCTACTCCCTGGGTCACTACTCCGGAGAGAAGGCGGCACAAAACCTGAGCATGGTGCTGTCCTCGGAGGTGGGGGTGGGCTGCTCCCTGCTGGACATGGACACAGAGGGCCAGAAACGAGACTGCACCGTGCCACTGTGCCGCATCCAGAGCTCCCCGGCTCGGCCCTCCGTCTTCGAGCTGGAGAAAGAGTTCCTCTCTTAGGAGCCCTGAGAAGTTATCTGCTGTGGTTGTAGCTCATCGCATACAGACACAATTTTTTGGCCTAGAACTCCTGGAGGGTTTAGAACCAGGCTGCCTTTGTTTCCGTTTAAGAAAAAGTTCTGTATAGAACTGTAGGACTCAGCTTTGTCTTAGAACATAGTGCTGTCAGTGTTCTAGAGCGTAACAGAGTCTGAGACTTCTAGGAGACGCCTGTGTCAGTTCTTCAACGTTCACCCTCGTCTCAGCCTGAGAACGGCCTCGTCTCACTCGAGAACACACACAGCGTTCTGAAACCCGAGCAGAACGTTCCTGAGCTGGATCAGCAGCTCTGGTCCCTCAGTGCTCGACTGCCACCTCCGTTCGCTCATGTCTCTCTCTCTCCCTTCGTCACCCCCCTTTCCTTTCTGTCGGTGCAGCTAAACGTTGACCGCTGCTGCAGCTTTCGCAACACAGTACCCTCACCTTTTTATTTATATATATATTTTTATAGGTAATTTAATATGAAGAGACTCGACCTTACCTTAGCAGCCAGCAGGACGTACATTCCATGTCAGTTTCAAAGCTGTGTGATCACGCTTTTAGAGTTTTTTTTGACTTGAGAATCATGCATGCATGTACCCTTAAAATGTTGAACAAAAAAAAAATCATTATGCCTTGTTTGTAAATATTTCTTTTTATCCATTATCAGCTTAACGCTGGCAGTCATTTTGTATTGCATATATGCTGTTTTATGGCTGTTTTAAAAGTCAGCAATGCTGCAGTACAGCTTGTGCTCTAGGGACAGGTTACATACCGGATCATAGGAGGGATGCTCGTATGTTTCCACCCACAATGCCCTGAAGATTTTTTAGAGATGCGGGTAGAAGAACACTGGAAGTCCTTACAAAGCAGACGTGGAATCTTCTTCTTTTAAAAGCTGTGGTCATGTGTTGCTAATATGGATTTTTCTAAGAGTATTTATAGAAAAGTTTGTTTGGTTAATATGCAGCAGGAAATATGTCAGGAACACCTGCCCCAGGTTTTCAGAAGTTCTAATCGAATCCCCCCCTGAGGACAGCTGATTGGTTGGAAGTGTAAAGGCAGCGTAATCTCCCACACAGCCCCGGAGTGTCCACACAGGAGAGTTTGGATTGGAAAACGCTGCCCAGATGCAGAAAATCGGTTCTGTAGAGCTGACAGATCCTTTACATTCATTCATGTCTGATTTGGTCAATGTTGTGGATTTCAGCCCCAGTTTAGTTCAACATGTCTCATTGTGCTGTTACATTTTAATATTTACTTCAGATTTTGTTCCTATTTGTACGTTTTTTTTTTTGTGCAACGTTAAGCAAAGGCCACATGTCCTCCAAAAGGCCAATTCATGCTGTCCAAGGATGTGCACGATGTAAATTTCACCTCTGTAGACGCCCAAAACAAACGTTTAGCAGAGGCTGTGTGAGGACATCCTCCGTCGTCCGCACCTTTTTAAAAGAATCATTTGAAGAGTTCAGAATCAGGGGAGCTGCTGCCAGACTTAGCAGGTGCAGATTTCCATTGACAATCCCAGAACACAGCGGGAAAACCTCCAGCTATCCTGTGCCGTGTCCAACAGAAACGCTGCACATCTTTTGGCAAAGCAGGTTTTTCTTTTTAAGTACAAGAAGAAGGTTAGAGCACACTGCTGAGTTCACAGCCCTTAATGCTCCAACACTACTGTGTCGTCTTGTCACTCCAGTAGTTTTGGAACATTAGTCTGTTTGCGCAAACCTACTTTTTGTACTCTAAAAAGGATGTGATCTGGAGCTTAGTGCAAAGTTAAAGCCTTTACGATGCATCCACAAGAACCCCTGTGAGTGTTTCTGTTTGACACGAGGGAAAACACAGATCAACACGTTCCCTAAGCTGCAGCATGAACAGAACTCTTCTGTGATTCTGCTTCTTGAAGCCCATTGTAGAAACCATGAATTGGTCGTTAACAAGATTCAGTTCAGTTTGTCTAAACAGAGTCAAGTTTGCTTTTTTTTAATCATTATACTGTATATGCTGTAGACTTCCTCAGGATTCAAGACAAAGGGCTCAGTAGCTTGATTTGTAGTCTCTCTGAACTTGACGGCCTGACTATGCAGTTCCTGTCCTGGACGTGGTTCCAGGGTCACTCCGGGGCTCGTTCTCTAAAAAAACAAACCGAACAATAACCCAGAAATTGATGATTCTATCCCCCCTTCACTTTTCCTCATTGCTGTCTTCGTTAGTAAATGTGTCCCCCCTTTGGAAGGACTCAAGGACCCATTTCCAGAACAATGATGAATTTCCAAATGGTGTAAATATAACTGTGATTCCTGACGTGTATCTCACTGTGGCGTTTTGTGATGATTTAGAATGTGAACGTTCCCATGTTCTGTATTTTGTGACCACTGACTTTCAAACCAGGTCCAACACTGTAAAGGCCTTACTAATCACAAAGCTGTTCAAGGTGCCGTTTACAAGCCAATTTTTATTTCTTTTTATTATTATGAATTGAGGGTTTGTAAATACCACAACGCACTGGTGCTGTACGTTCCCCCCCCTCAGTCGTCACAGTCGGAACTTCCTCGGCTGGTGCTCAACTCGACTCGACATTCCCAAACAAACATTCCACTGCTTTTTGACAAACTGCAGCAATAATATTTGTGCGACCAGTTACCGGTACGGCTCATTCAGGCTTCTGGCTGCTACGGGGACCAAATTCAGCTCGACCAGCACTAAAGGGCCTCTTTTGTCTTCAGGACCAAAACCACTAAATGAACTAGCTGCTAGTGAGGAGTTGTTACAAAAAGAAAGCGACTCCGTTCGAATAAGCGTCACAAAGAAACCTCAGAGGCTGAAAGATCCGAAAAAACCTTCAAATGACGAGAACTTTTTTTCTGTTAAAATCCTTCGACACACTGGCGTCACGCTGAACGTGTCGGATTTAGCTTCTGTTTCAGCGAGCGGTGTTTGTTATCATTACAGTATTGGTTGTTTCACGCCTGATTGATCAAGAGTATCAAGTTTATCGACATTTTGAATAAAGTCTAAATCAAGACTAATGTCGCCTTTTTGTTTTTCTTTGCAGGCAGAAGATTATTTAGTGTTTTCTTTATGTTTTAGGCAATGATGGAAGAAGTTCAGATGTATTACTTTTATGGAAATTATTAGGGTCCGAGCACCCAAAAGGGTGCGAAGGGTATAGTAGCAGCGGCCCTATAGCATGACTTTTTTATTTCATGCTAAAACCCAAAATGACTTCTCTTTGTGAAATACTTTCCTGAGGTGATTTCTACGACATGCATTGAAGTATATTCACTGTGTACTACATCCTGACACGTTTTGACGAATCTGAATCATGACCTTTTTTGACAAAAACGACATGCTATATTATGACTTTTTTTT